TGACAATACATAATAAATAGTTTATTACTATTGCTTGCATGAATCTATTTATGGCCATCCTGAAGATAATCTAGAGGAAACTTCAGTTCCAACTAAATATGGATATACATAAAACCCTCGGTTCTGACCATATCTTTCTGTCCAGACTTAAAAATCCTCTGTTTTAAAAGCCCATTCTGTCCAGACTTTTAAAAAAAAACATACAATTTCTTGGCTTTTGTGGATTACAGTGACCTCCAAAATCATGAATTGTGAAATCTATGCACTCTCCCATAGAAGCTCACAGGTAACTGAGGGACCTAACTGCCTCCTTAAAGTATTTCTGCACACCATCTCAGGGTGCTGTTTCCCCAGGTTAAGAACCCTGCTCTAAGTCACTCTCTTGCAGGGTCAGAGTTTAAAGCACTGAGTATGACTCAGCCACCAACTATGAACTACATGGTCAGGTTTGGGTTCCAGATTAGCACTGTGTCCCTTCTTGGATTCATATATTTTGTGGCTACTGAATCTCAGTATAACTTATTCTAGTTAAGGACAGAGCAATAGTAACCCTAAAAATCAGTGTCAAGGTCACGTAGGTCTCAAGATCAATAGGCAAGCAGGTAATATAACACAGTGAGCAAAGTAAGAATATCTATATCGGGCCTACACCTCATATACAGACGGACAGAGATATTAGGTACAGCCTTTGTGTAATATGTATAGTAAGGTGTCCAACAGGAAAATCAACAATCCTGAGGAATCTCACATGAATAACGTGAACAACCTTAGGTTTATAAATCCAGGTTTTCCTGCATGAGTACCAAGAGTCCAATAATTCCAAAGATGTAAAATGGATTTAAATCATCCTTTCAACCACTTCCAATAGGAAAAACACAGGTTTCATCACTCTCTTTGAACTTATTTTCATGGTCAATTTTTATTTTATTTTGTTTTTTATTCTTTATGACAGGATCTTACTGTTTTCCAGGCTACCTTTGAATCTATGCTGAACCTGCCTCAGGCCCCCAAGTGCTGGGATTACAGGTGTCCACCACCATACTTGGCAACTAATCCTTAAATATTTGTATTTTTCATAATTGCTAACTCTAATGCTAAATGGGAGAATTTGGAAGTATTGAAGCCTTAAAAAGGTATAATTATTAATTTTAAAATACTAGAGGAAATATGAAGTGTTGTATTAGGAGAAGAAAGAGAAGGACAAAAAGATTCCAAGAGTGAACATTCTGAAGTAGGTTGGTGTTATCATTTGCTACTATTTGTGTATTGTGTAACTTTGGACAAGTGTTAGCCTCAGCAGCCTTATATTTACATGTAAGGATAACAACAGTATTCACCTCATGAAAGTACTGTGACAGTAAAATGATATAATACAAGTAACCTTAGATCTGGGAAGAAATTTTTAAAATGAGTCATTCTTAAAATTCTTAAAATTACCCTTTCTTGTATCATTGTGATCCATGCTTCTTTCTCTAAATGTTTTTTATATGTGGAATTTATTTCATTTCCTCATTATCATAGAAACTAAAAGAATATTATTTTCATTATTGTTTAAAAAAACATTTCAGGGATACTAATGAGTATATATATATATATATATATATATATATATATATATGCAGGAACTATGCTGCTCAGCTACATCCCTGGCCTAGAACAAAATATATTGATTGCCATTTTGACACACTATGTGGTAGACAGCACAGATACAGGGTCAAGAAAAAAGAAACAGCTCCCAGAGAAGGAAGAGCCCAATAGAGAAATATGTCAAACACACAGGTGATTTTAAAAAGGAAGATGTACCAAAAATAATAGTCTCAAACGATAAAATGAGAGATGATGCTAGAAAAGATAGTTGAATTCTTGAAGAACAGTTCATGCTTAAAAAAAATACAAAATCAAAAAGTTTCTCTGCTCTTATTACCAGAAGATGTATTGTTAATCTTTCCCATATAATGTGAAATCCAGTTTACATTTAAGTATTGAAATGATAGCGAGTTAATAAATTTAAGAACTCACTCAGTAATTTCAATTTCTGTGAAATTTCTAAGTGTAACTCTAAAACTAGCCTGTAGTTTGACTTGATACAGAAGATCTCAGAATACCTTGGCCCCCTACTTGAGTTTCACTGAAGGCTCACAACTCACATTCCATGGACTCAACATCTCATCTATACTGATTCGAGGCTTCATGGCCTTCCACTGTTGATTCTCCACTCCCCAATCTTGTATCCTCTGGCACTGCTGTATGAAACCTACTTTTCAACATGGAACCTTATCCAACGTTTTCCCCCACACACTGTAGGTAATGAACTCAACAGCATGCAAAGTCTGCCTCATGTTTTTCCATGAACTGACTTCCAAAGATCCACTGACTCTGTGAAATCATTCTCAAAAGTTTATCTAGTGATCCTACATCCTTCCTCCTGCCTGGATCAGACAAGTGTATCTGCATAAACTCAGACATCTCTCCTTTCCCTTAAGAATGTGGGATTTTTACAGGTGGCACGAAGTTGTGATGTGGTCAGGGACCACCACAGAGATGGGTAACAGGCAGGAGGGCCCTTGCCTGCTACTTATTAAACATATAATTTGTGTTTTCTTCCGAGAGACTCAATGACTTAAAATCGATTTTAATATGATCCTTTACTGGGCCTACAGATGTCTAGAAAGTAACTAAATGTAGAATAAAGCTTGACTTTCGTTTTGTATCCTTTGTTACTGTAAATCTTGAGTCAAGTCTCCTATCAGCTCTGCATAGGGACATGTTGAATATTTGAGGAATGTCTCTGAGAACTAGCCAATGAATTTATACAATCTCCTCCCCTTTGAAGACTCACGACACCAAAATTAGAGGTTTTTAGGGACATTCAGCTATATCCAGGCAGCTTAAACCATTGCCCTAAAACTGTGATCACCTGGATTCCAGGAAAGGCTGAGCCCCACATGACTGAGACCACCACAGACAGAGACAGTCTTTTTCTGGGAACAGAACCATCTGTCAGCCATTCAGATCCCAAAGCTACAGCACAACTGAGATAATGATCAACCTGACCTCAGCCCACCAGCTACTCGTTGAAAGGTGCCCTCCTGTAAGGCTAGTCTAAACCCCTGTGCCACAGTATGCCCTTTCTAGCTACATAAACTAGAATCTTTTTTTCTTCCCTCTAACTTGTCAATTAAAGCTTCTTTTTTTGTAAATTTGTGCTTTAGTTTTAATTTTCATTTCTATTAAAGCAAGGACCCATGCTAGCCAGGAACAAAATCCCCAAATAAAAGTCTCCCATGTCTATGATAACCCCTGTTTGGCTGATGAAGAAACACATGTAAATATAGATTTAAACATGAGTGAAAACTGACCGGGTGAGTTGACTTTTTAATGATAATATTCAATGAGCTAAAGCTGGTTTTTAATATTGTTGTATTAGGAATTTGATTCTGGGCCAAACTAGTTACTAATCTCAGCTCTGTAACTTCCCACTGGGTTATTCTTCCTATAATTCAATTGTTCCATCTACTAAATGAGGTTAATAAGTAATATTAACTTAATTGTATTATTTTAAGCATTAAATGGAATAATCTATTTAAATAACTTTTTAAAGGACATGGTATATATAATCAATAAATATCTGTGGTTGTTCTTACCACCATTTCTTAGAAAATATAGCCAATTATTTCCTAAATTTTTAGTATATCTGATAGGAAGGGGGGGTTCACCAAATTATAAAAGTATAAATTTGGTCTAAATTTATGTATGTACATTCAAAAGTTCTGAAATTGTAAATCAAGATTAACATCATAGAAATACATTTTGTTTCTTATGGTGTCATATTTTAAATGATTAGACTTATCAATACTCTTATTGCTTGTAAGCCTCCACTTTCAGGTGCTAAAATTTTTAACTTATTCTGTGCCTTAAACATGCTCGATATTTTCATATTATGTGGCAGAACCTTTAACTCAAAATCCTCTTACTTTCAGTTTAAGTAGAGACGTCTCCTCAGCCTTCCACTGGCACACACCATGAAGAAGGGCTGGAGTTGTCACTGATGAGTGTTTTCAGCATCATTTCTCGTTCAGCATTATAACAGCTATAAACCTATAGGCCGCAGCCCAATTCTGCAGCATGGGGGGTGCCAGCAGTTGAACAGTAAAAATCAAGGTAGTGTTGGCTGTATCAGACAATTTAGGACATCTGCATCATTACAGTTATTGCAGTTAGACATTCTTTCTGCAATGGAAGTTTAATGTATTGTTTAGGATTATAAGTGAATTGAAGAGCTTTCACCATTTTGGATCACATTTTGCTTTATGATAAGGTGCAAGCCAGAGTCTTTGATTTAGTGTTTAGCAGCATAACCAATAAAATATATTGAGAGAAATGTCCACATTCCACAAAGTACCTACCAAAAAGCCATCCCTGCAGCTCTGCTGATATCTGGACATATCTGTTTCAGAGTGCTTTCTTGTAAATCTCCCTTTAGAAAGAAAACCTTTGACACAGTTACTATTGTACTCCTGTCACCTACAGATAGGGTCTTACAAAGGCAAAGGGAAAAATAGTGCAGTGTATTATTCAAGCTAAAAATAACACAATATGCTTCAAGTGATTCCACAGTCTCTAAATCAGAAGTCCAAAATTCACAGAGAAAATCTCACAATCCAGTTGTCATTTGCTTTGATTTAAAGCTTGTATTTCTAAGAAGACATGTAAACTTTGGAATCGGGTTGGACAAAATATGAAAAATATGACATACTAGGGCTGAGGATGTAGCTCAGTTGTAAATTGCTTACTGGTACTCAGAAGGCCCAGGCTTTGCTCCCCAGCATTGCAACAAAACAAAGGGAAAAACAAAACAAAAATTTCAGATATGATACACTAAAAAAAAAAATAGATAATTGGTCCACCCAGCAGGAGCACAGGAAGTTCTAGATCTCTTCTGCTGATCACTGACCTTCTAGTCACCTGGAATTTCACCATGGGTTCTGAATGTCACTTACCCTATGACGATACAGGAGATGGCAGTTCCCAAGAAGGCATATGTTAAAATAGATCCTAAGTTTTGAAAAAAGTGTCTCTGGGGAGAAAAAAAATATATTTCATAAGAGTACATCTGCAATTCTTAGTGTAACAGGAAATAAAAATAACTGCACGCTTTTCACAGGTCTTTTTTTCCCTTACCATTTAGGCAAATTTTGTATCTGGAGCCTCATTTCTGACCTTGCTGTGTCTATAGAGATAAAGTGATTTTCTTACAAGAGACAGCGGGGGGAAAAAGAAAACCCCACTGGAAGATGACAGAGTAGAGATGAGACAACTATTCCAATTAGCTGGACAGGAGAGGAAGAGAAGGGGCTGGGACAATGTCTATTAGGACTCTGGGACAATTAATAGAGGAAATATTTTTCAATAATTTTGTTGTACATGTAACATCTTCAACATTTTTTTAAAACATACTATTCTATGTAAGTTACCTTTTGGTTTTTATTGGATCACTGGCTTTTCTTCTATATGTTTTCCAAATGTCATGAAACCAAACTTTTAAAACCTGAATGATTAATGAATCAAAAACAAAATGATGCCTTGTATTGGGGCTGGAGCTGGAGAAAGATGACAAATAAATCCAGCCTTCTAAATCTCTTCAAATGCTTGCTTAAGAAATATTTCTTCCACTTTAGTGAAATTTGAGTGGCCAGTACTGACAAGAGGGAGCCTGGAGTACAGACAGAAAACATCGGGTCTGTAATGCAGAAGCTCTTTGGCTCCTGGAAGCGACAGGCCAAAGAGAGGAGAGCACAAGGAATCCCTGGGTGGCGGGTGGGCAGCAGAAAAGCAGATGAATTACTTTTTCTCTCAGAAATCTACAGGCCAGAGCCTCATTCTGCAGCATGGGAAATGCCAACACTTAAACTCTTACATGAAATTTTAATGTATAAAATACACAAGGTCAGGCCATGCATATATATCATCAGGCAAGTGCATAGAAATTGTACAACTGAACTTTCTCTGTATGACAATAGCAGCCTTTTTGAGTTTATACCCAGATGGGTAAACATAACATTAAGTAATAAGTAAACTCTTCTGTTATCATGCCCAATAGAAGCACAATGCAAGCCATATATAGCATTTAAAAGTTTTCTAGTAGCCATATTAAAACAAATTTTTAAAATATGAAATGAATTTTGATAATCTTTTGTTTTTAAATCAATATATGCAAAATACTATCATTTGTGCATGAAATCAATATAAAACATTTGTGACAGTATATGTTTTTTAAAATGCCAGCTCTTTAAAATCTGGTACATATTTTACACTTAAACAGCATCTCAATTCAGACTAGCCACATTTCAAGGGTTCAAGAACTTCATGTGGCCAATGACCTGCATGCTACACAAGGCAAACTTAGAAAAATTCTGACTATGTAGAGTTTGAATCTTTCATTTCCTATTATTTTTTCTTTTGGTACTGGAGATTGAACACATGACCTTGCTCCTGCCAGGCAGATGCTTATGCTACTGAGTGAAATCCCTGACCCCTAAATCTTTATTACATGAGATAATGATATTTTTATCAAATAGGCAGGTCTGTAAAATAATTATTTTCATTAGTACTGGTAAATTCTTCACTTAATGATAAAAGAAAATAATCACTATATATTTACCTTCTTTAGACTATATCCTGCATGAAATATAATTGGTGGCAATAAAACATTGAAGAAGATTTCTGGGTCAAATGTCATCTGCCAGAAAAGAGAAAAGAGCAGTTAGAAATATTTTCCTTCAGGCCATTAAAATATATTTTAAAAACACAATTATAGTCAGCTTTGCTAAGTTTGAACTAGGCATGCAAATACTATTAAATTAGAGATAAAAAATAGGTAGAAATGAAAATTTAGAAATTCACAAGTGCAGTATAATATAAATTAATATTTTAACGCAAAATTTATAATTTTTGTCTTAAGGCTAATAAGAACAGCAGCCATAAAAATGTAATTAGATCTTTCTGGGAAAATTTTTTTCTTTTGCGTATTAATTTCTCATATTTGAATGTTTTCATTACAGTTTTTTCTGATACAAGGACCTAGTATTACTCAGCTATTTTGGCTTCAGAAGGATTTACTTACTGTTTTCCCTCAATGAAAAAATTATAAAAATTTGGACTTCATTTTCTGTACTTTTCCTATTCCAAAATTTAAAATATTTTGCAGATTGTGGAAAACACACTTGAAAATGAAAATAAATTTTTTTAGTATTTCTTTCTTGCCTTTTACTTAAATATTAAAACAAAGTTGGCCAAAAAAGCATTTGTGAGTTGGTAGGAAGTACAAATGAAATGAATTACATAAATTCCTGAATTCACTATCTATTTTATTGCTTGATAATCTGAAAATAAGATTTCATTTAATCTTCAAAATGGCTTTTCCTTGCTTCTCTATAGCTATTATCTTTCTCTTCCCTCCCTCCATCTCTCTTATACATATGCTACCATTTATTATTTTGCCACTAAGACTTTCGTACTATAAATCACTCATCAAATCTTTTACATGTATGGATTTCACAACTATAATTTGTACTTTCCTCCCCTATATGCCTTTAGTCTTACTCCTCTCTGAAGCTGAATCTCAAGTAGTTTTCCTTAAAATATGATTGAGCTCCCAGACCAAATTGACCATACTCTCTTCTGTGTTTTTCAACATGTTTGGCCTTCCCTGTAGCATCTTGAGTTTCATGACATATTTTGTATGGTTATTGATTTGTGTTTGACCATTTCCCTCATTAAACTAGAAACTTATCAAAGATCATAATAGTGCCTTAGTCAATTCTGTATGGCCTCAATCCCTCCCCATGGCCTAGTTCATTGCCTAATATATTGTTGATCTTCCACTATCATCCCATCCACGAGAAGTGGGAAGTAATGGGCTTAGCTCACCCTTTCATACCAGGACTTAGGGACCTCTCAGACACTGGCATGGTCACAGACTGGCTAACTTTCAGTAGGCGACAATTATTGGGGCCACCAGCCAAGGATCTTAGAATCTGTATAAGCCCTCCCTTCTGGAGAAATGAGGCTAAGGCCAGTTTTCTTTTCTTTTCTTTTTTTTGGTACCAGAGATCGAACTCATGACCTCGGCTTGCCCGCCAGGTGCTTATTCCACTGAGCTAAATTCCCAGCCCAAAGCAAGTTTTCTAAAAGCCTACTACAAGCACCCACCTCTGAGCATTTAACCTGATGGTCTACCTACAGGAAGAAGGAGAATAACAGACTTTCTGCCCAATCTTGCTTTTAATAAGGCCGATCTCCTTGTGCTTTCTTGTCTTAATAACAGTTTTGCCCATGCTATTCTAGCTTCTTCAGCTAACAGATGAACTTCTTTAGCTAGGAGCTTGTTCTTACATTGCTATGTTGCTTCACATGATAACTAGTTCAGTACTTGGCCAGTACATTGTGTAGTTTATTCACTGGTTGGAGAGAGTACACGGGAAGCCATAAGCATAAGAATATTCCTCAGGTTTTTCAAGCTTTTCCATGACTTATCCAAAACCAGGGAATTATGGTATGGATACTACATATGCTCAAACACCTGAGAAAAAGGAAGAGGCAAGCAAGAAGAAAGTCAAAAGTAGTAGTAGTCCATGTGCCTACACTCCCTGAGGCACATCACTGAATACTCTAAGTGCAGCATTTCATTTAGTTTTCACAAGAAAAAAAGAGGACTAATTTGCGCATTTCATTGGCTCATCATTAGGTCACCATTCCAGGCTGCATATTAAGCATTAGAGATTATGCACAAATGGTGCATAAATCCATTTACAGTGGAGAAACAGAGGCTTAGAGAGGTTTTCGCTTGTCAAGGTCAGGCAGCTAGTAATTGATGGAGCTGGGATTCTAGATTCTAGATTATTGTTTCCAAAGCCTTCTTATATACTCTTATCATACCTAAACACTGTAAAAAGAGTGAGTTTATCTCCTCTTCTGTCATTAAGAACCATTTAAGATTTATTCTCCCAATAGCTTGCTGTTCTTGAGGGGATTTTGTTAGAAGAGTTGTAAACAAAGTAACTGATATGACACAGTTCACTTCAGTGTCATTTCTAATGATTGGCCCCTAACAAGTAGTAAAATTAATTTGTTTACATAATAGTTCAAAAACAAACTCCTTGTGCTAGGATCTGTACTAGACACTAAACAGCGTAGTGAACAAAACCAAGCTCCTGCTCCCTGAAAACTTCCAGATAGTGAAGATGGATGAAACCAATTAGTTAACTATCTGATAACTAAACTGATCAATAATCACTCTGAGTTACAGTAAGTATTGTGAAGAAAATGATCAAAGAGCAGAAACAGATATAAAAAGGGCTTAGGTTTAGGTATGGTGGTCAAGGAGGGTTCCTGAGGAGGTAACATGTAAACTTAGATCCACAAACAGAAAAAGGGACCAAACAGGGTGAAATGAGGGATTTTAAATGGAAGATACCAACGTAAGGTTGGAGTAGATATGTGAAAGGATTTGATTTGTGCTTTAAGATACTCATTTAAGTGACTGCTATGTAATCTAGGTGAGAGGCCGGTGGTATGGGGAGAAGAGGGAAGCCTCTAGTTACACTGAGACAAAATGAGAAGTTGGAAGATTAAGTGTTAGGGTTAACAGGAAAGGAAGAAACCACTTTTAGGGTCTTCACTTGCTGTAGCCAAAGATTGCAAGCAGAACATGACAATATAGGACACATAATTTATAGTATTATTTGGTAATAGTCACCCAAGAGTTAAATACAAGAGTGCAAGAAATCTGTCTATATACTAAAGACCTAGAGAATCCAGCCAAGGACCTGGATCCTTGGCAATATCCTGCATGAGTTCAGCTGAAAACCTAGAGCCCATGACAATGCCTTCCATAAGTTCAAATGGAGGTCTGGAGCCTATGACAATGACTCATGTAAGTCTATTTCATAGATCTGCACTGGGAGGCCCAATGCCAGTGTGGAAACTAGAAAGGCTATGCCAACAGGGTGAAGGATCTGAGGCCTGAATAAGTTGAGGTTTCTGCACTGGAGCCTAGAAGAAATGCTCAAATAAGGACCAGGTCTATCTCAAAAAGCACCACAGCCATTCTCAGTGACAGTGAGATCCTGAGCTCCTCCAACGATGAGAACAGCTGAATTCATATAGGGAAGCCAGCATGACAAGCTTCTCTGGGAGACTGAACAACACACATCTTCCCCTCCAGAGTCAGGAAGTGGTAAATATCAGAGCCCCCCCCCCCCCCCGAAAGTGAACCACAGCCATTCTCAGTAACAACGAGGTCCCAAGCTTTTTGGACAATGAAAACAAATTTGTATCAGAAAGCTAGCATAACAAGCTTTGTCTGGAGACTGAACAGCTCCAAACACAGCAACACTTAGGAGAACCCACAACGCTACACTCTTCCTCTCCACTTCTTTTTTATGCTGGCAATAGTCCTCAGGTAAACCATCTACACTGAGCACTATGCTGATTTAGTCCGGCTAGTGTCAAGATGACCGTCAGTTTTTAATCCACTTCATCACTTGTATAACCAAGAAAGCCTAAGTGCTTCTAAGTAGTGATTAATTGTTGGTTTCCTCTCACAATCTCACATTCCACAGTTTTAGAAAAATTGTATACCTTGTATTATGGAGACAAGGTTAAACTCCAGTTATTTCTTTTGTTATACTGGCTTACTGAAAAGGATGAGTCAAAAAAAGTCCCATTGGGTGCAATAATCAACACAAAAGGTAAAAATGATGATCCATCTCATTATACAACAAACATGTTACATTGTTTTATTCTTAGATAATTCTAAGTCTACCAGGCTAATTATAAGTTATTCTTCTACTTTATAATTTATTCTGGGCTCTTAAAACAACTTCTTTTGGGTCCAGAAATTTAATGACTGCTGTTGGCCAGAAGCATTAGTTTTTTGGTTTTTTTTGTTTTTTTTTTTTTTTTTTTTGTTTTTTTTTTTGGTCTTTTTCCTTTTTATCAGTACCGGGGATTGAACTCACGAATGCCTGCAAGGCAGGGGCTTATGCCGCTGAGCTCAATCCGCAGCCCCTGAAGCAATTAGTATTTTGACTTCACTTTTTAGCTCTTGAACCTCTAGCTTTTAATGCATGAAAATGGAGTCAGTTAGGTAATATAAAAACAAATCACATCAGCTCATGATCTAGGTTCTTTCAGACGCAAAAATTACCTGGAGTGACTTTAAAGGGTGGATACTCAGAGCCAAACTACCTGGATTCTCATCTCAAATTCCTTGAGTTTGATTCTCTGTGCTACAGTTTCCTCATCATTACGCTGAACATAGTAATGTGATACCTAATAATAAGGAGGTTGTAAGAGCTAAATGAATTAATATTTGTAAAGGTTTTGCAGAAATGCTTGACTTCTAGTAAGCATTTTGCAAGTATTTATTATTAAGGAAATAAAATATGTGATAAATATATTCAATCCTTTAAAAAAACTTTTCAAGAACTTTTTAAGAACTCTTAAAGGTTACACAATTGCTTAAAATGTGTAAAGATTTTAATTTTCCTTCTTAGTATTTTCTCTTTTCTCAGATAATCAGATACCCAATTGTTGATCTATCTTTTTTATGAGGCTTTATTGAGAGTACAGTAAGTTACATAAAGTTTTTAGCATAGAGATGTATTCTTTGAGTGCTGGAGGGCTGAAGCAGCTCAACTGTGATTATCCGGAAAAGAGAAACACAGAGGCACAACC